TGGTCAGTAGTGGGGCCTGAACTCTGGGCCTGGGCGCTGTCCCTCAGCTCTTCAGCTCAAGACTAGCACTCTACCACTTGAGCCACCGCACCACTTCTGGCTTTTTCTGCTTATGTGGTGCTGAGGAACTGAATCCAGGGCCTCATGCATGCAAGGTGAGCACTCTACCACTGAGACACCTCCAGAGCTCTTGTGTGGTTTTTTGTTGTTGTTGTTTTACTGGATTAGGGTCTCACTTCCTGCCTGAGCTATACACCTGAGTCTTGATATACCAATTTTAGGCATTCCAGAGTTCAGGTCACAAGTATCTGCCAACATACCCAGGTTCCTTCTGTACAGATGGAAAACTTACAAACTTTATCTTCCCCCTACCTCTGTCTCCCACATAGCTTGTGATGACAGGGACATACCACTGTACCCAGGTATGGGTTTAGAAGAGATCTCAAGAGCTGTTTTGACTAAACTGATGTTGAACCTCAATCCTCCCATTTTCAATCTCCTAAGTAGCTAGGATTACAGGTATCCACTACTGGCTTTTCCTGCCTTCTCCATCTGTGCATGGCCAAGAGCACAGAGCAGGGCCTCAATAAATGCACAAAGGTCCACTGCACAGTGCATTCCAATGACTTACCTTCCTGAGACACAGCCACTCAACCTTCTCCTCAGACAACATTCAACTCCCACCCCCACCCAGGGTAACAAGGAAAAAGCAACAGGGAGCAGGAGGAGGAGGAGGAATGAGAGGAGGATAAAAGAGAGAAAGAAAAAAGGAGATAAAAGGAAAATTAGGAAAAAGAGGAGAAAGAAAAGGAGGAGGAACAGAGCACACCCGGGAAATTTAAGAAGCCAGCTGCAGGATCATGAGTCTTTTAATATATTAGTCTGAAAAGAAAGGAATTAAAAAAAAAAGTTCCTGACAGCTCTTCCGTTTTGTCTTGTTTTTTAATTTAAATAAATACCCTGCCCACCCACTCCCACACACACCCACTAAAATTTCCCTCCTTCCCCATCACCCCACCCATCCCTGGCTAGACCCTCACCCCAGAACTAAAGAAAACACGCCTGTTTCAGAGCAGGCCACGCTCACTACCAAATTCTGACAAAATTATAAATACTGTATAAGCAGCCAGTCCCCAAGAAAATCAATCCATCCCTCACTGCGGGTGGGCACGGATGACGGATGGGGATAACTGAGGCATTGGAGAGGGCGCTCTCCATTCTCCACTCCCTGCTCGGGTGTGGATCAGAAGGGCCCAGAATTGTCTAAAAAATAAATAAAATAAATAGCCCTCCCCACTCCCGGCTCTCCTCCCTCTCGGTCTACTCCACGGTTCTAATCCCAGCCTTCCACTTGACCCGCCCCCATCTTCCTCAGACCCTTCCCTCCTTCCCACCTTGATCTCCACCCTCTTTAAAAAAAAAAAAAAGAGGGTCTGTCACGCTCAGACCCCCTCCTCACCACCACCAGGCAAACCCTTCTCCTCCTCGTCCTCCTCCAAATGGCTTGGGGGTACTCACAGTACCCCAAAGTACCGATGGGGCTTGGCAGGCTCCCCAGTTTCTAGGGCCCTAGGGTGGGTGGAAGGTCAGGGTGGTCCCTGGTCCTCCTGTCACTCAAGCATCAGGCCCCGCCCCTTCCGGTCAGGTGTCCTCCGGCGCCCCGCCCTCCTCAGATGGCGGTGTCCCAGAGGACGGTGTGCTGCCGGCGGCAGGGCGGGGTGCCGGACTTGCGGGGCTCGGGTCCCCGCCGCCAGCTGGGGAGGATGGGCATGCTTTCCTGCTTGCAGAGGCCGCGGTCGGGGCGGTGGCGGGCCTTGATCTCCTTGCACACGCAGCGCTTGCGTTCGATCACCTCCAGCAGCTTGCCGTCGCGCTCGCGGGCCGGCGGGGGTGGCAGGGGCAGCGGCAGCGGCAGCTCGGGGTGCATCTGGGCCAGCAAGAGGGGAAGAAAGGAAAAGATGGGGCGCGTGTGTCAAGGATTCTTCCTTCCCCTCACGGGGGGCTGAGGGTGGAACAGAAATCCAGCTCCTGCATCCTTCACCCAAGCTGGGTCTGTCTCGCCCTAAAGTAGAGCTGTGTGCAAGTGGTAGAATAACAAACTTGAGCAAAAAAGCTCAGGGACAGTGAGCACCCAAGTCCCAAGTTCAAGCTCCAGGACCAGCACCAAATAAAAAGAAAGAAAGAAAAAAGGCATTTTTGTAATTGGTCCTTCCAGGTCTTTCTAATTTTCTTTCTTGTGCCAGTCCTGGGGCTTAAACTCAAAGCCTGAGTGCTGTTCCTGAACTTTTCCCATCAAGATTAGTGGTCTACCACTTGAGCCATACTTCACTTGCCACTTTTTGATGGTTAATTGAAAGAGTGAGTCTCATGGATTTACCTCCCAGGCTGGCTTGTAACTTCCATCCTCAGATCTCAGCCTCCTGAGTAGCTAGGATTACAGATACGAGCCACCAGCACCCAGCGTTTTTTGTTTGAGACAAGATCTCTGCCTTGAACTCTATCTTAGTCTCACGGACATGGCACTGTGCCTAGCATTTTCTTGCCTTTCTTTCCTTTTCTAACTGTTCCTACCCAGATAAGAGATAAAACAAGCCTTACCTGGCTCAGGGCATCCCTGGGCTGGCTGCAGGGCCGGGGTGTGTGGAGCGCGGCCTGCCGGACTCCAGAGGTGGAGGCAGAGCGGCCCAGTCGGTAGCCTCCCGTGAAGTCTTAAGTAAAAGAAACCAGGAATGAGGAGAGAGGTCTATAGGGGCCCTCTCCCCCAGTTCCCCGAGGTTATAGCCAGCCTGCCCGGACTCATCAGAGTTAAAAAAAAAGAACATGGGCTGGGAAGGTGGCTCAGTGGTAGAGCGCTTGCCTTGCATGCCTGAGGCCCTGAGTTCGACTCCTCAGCACCACATAAGCAAAAAGAAAAAAAAACTGGAAGTGGCGCTGTGGCTTAAGTGGTAGAGCGCTAGCCTTGAGCTGAAGAGCTGAGGGACAGCACCCAGGCCCAGAGTTCAGGCCCCACGACTGGACCCAAAAAAACAAAGAACATAAGCCAAGTGCTGATGGCTCACACTTGTAATCCTAGCTATTCAGGAAGCTGAGATCTGAGGATCGTGTTCAAAGCCAGCTAGGACAGGAAAGTCCATGAGACTCCTATCTCCAATGAATCACCAGAAAACCAGAAGTAGAGCTGTGGCTCAAATTGATAGAATGCTTGCCTTGAGCCAAAGAGCTCAGGGACCCTGAGTTCAAGCCTCATGACTGGCTACCCCCCAAAATAAATAAATAAATAAATAAAAAGAACAGAAATGTGGTGTTAAGATTGAGGGCCTCTGCCAAGTGCCATGGCTCATGCCTAGATACTCAGAAGGTTATGATGTAAGAGCCAAAGTTTAAAGCCAGGAGAACAGACAACTCTGAGACTCATTTCTGATTTATCAGCAAATAGCCAGAAGTGAAGGTATGGGCTCAAGTTGTAGCACTCCACCTTTGAGCAAAAAAGTTGAGCAATGCATGAGCCTGTAATCCTAGCTACTCAGGAAGCTGAAATCTGAAGGTCATGGTTCAAAGCCATCCCAAGCAGTAAAGTCCATGAGACTCTTACCTCCAATTAACCCCCAGAAAACCAGAAGTGGCACTGTGGCTCAAGTGGCAGAGTGCTAGCCTTGAGCTGAAGAGATCAGGGACAATGCCCAGGCCCAGAGTTCAAGCCCCATGATGGACAAAAGAAAAAAAATTGAGCAAGAACACAAGGCTCTAAGTTCAAGCCCCAATACTGGCAGGTACACATACACACACACACACACACACACACACACCGACTTAGGACTGCACTAGGGATGTAACTCTGGCAGAGCATAAGTGAGGTCCTGGGTTCTATCCCCAGCACCTGGGTATGGGGTACAGGGAAGTGGGGGGAGACTCAGAAGCAGGACATGGATGGGAACAGTCGCTTATGGACCCTGGGAGATTCCCCAGCTGTCTCCCTCTCTTCAGGGTATGTGGGTAGGGTATCACCTCCATTTCGGTGGCAGGCCGGGAAGGTCTGGCAGGGTATGGGCAGCGCAGTACGGCTCCCTCCTCTGTGGTGGTGGATCCTGGCCAGCAGGCCCTCTGCTCCCTGGCTCCTCACAGGGATTCCTGAGGCCATAGGACTCCGGTCCTCACGCTCCACCTTGCCTGGACCTTCGACACTGCCATTCCAGGCCCGGGCACTGTCTTCTACCTCTGCTGGGATGACAAAGAGAGCTTAATGTCTGTATGTGGGAGGGGTCCTCTTGTTCAGCCACACACAATTCTGCCTGGATGGCAGCAGAGATGAGAGGGACCCTACCTCTCACTCCCCCATTAGAGATGCACACAGGAGGGACCCAGCTTTGCCACCTTCCCTTTTGTCCATTGGTACCAGCCTCTGGGGCTGAGAATCACATGTATTTGTGGCTTTTGAGCTCCTCTATCCTAGCTCTAGCTCTGAGCCCTACTATGTCCAATCAGGGCCAGGACAAACACCTAGAAAACAAGAGATGCTGTTCCGCAGTAGGGAGGGGAAAAAAAAATCCCGTATCCTGAGACTGGAAAGGGGAAAACAGGCTTGGGGAGGTGGGGGGGAATAGGGCTGCATGTGAACTAAGCTCATCTCTGAGTAGGCCTGGCAGAGCATTGCGTTGCCAGGCAACGGTAGGGGCCTCCCTCTCCTCTCCCTCCTGTCTGGATGGGTTGCCATGGTAATAGCTGGGAGGCAGCTGTGTTTAGCTCCTAGTGTGCGCACACTCACAAACACACACACACCCCTGCAGACAGGGGAAGGGAGGGGCAGGGAGTAGAGCAGACGGGTCCTGGCTGAGTCTACCTGTGTTTCAGCTCATATGTGGTATCTCTGGCACACTCACGGGGACCCCTACCCATCTCCATCCCTTTATTCTGTAACCCAGCCCCATCTTTCTGGTCTCCCAGGAAACTTCCCATTTCAGGACAATGGGCAGTGGCTTCCAAGAAACCCTTCTAAAACATCCCCACACCCCCACCTTTTCCAGCACCCCCCAACCCCCCTCCTCACTCACTGTCCAGCTCCTTTGCCTTCCGCCCTCCATAGAGGACCTTCCTCTGCAGAGCCCAGCCTGCCCCAAATGTGGCGCCCATCTCCTCTTCTTCCTCTGGCGTCCCTGTGCTGGCGATGACGTGGGCACAGGAGATGCTGGCAAAGGCACCCCCCTCGGTCCCTTGTTCCTGCAGCTGGATCTTGACCATAGGGGACGGGGCCCCCACCCCACAGCCCTTATTCAGCACCCCCCCAGCCTTGAGACTCTCATAGGCAGGGGGTCTCTTGAGCCCAGCTGCTGTGGCTGGGTAGGTCCAGAGAGGGGTCAGGGGGGTTGCGGTTGGGTCTGGGAGGCCGTGGGGTGAAGCCAGGCAACCACGGTGATGGAGGACCCCAGGGGCTACGCCCATCACCCCACTGTGGGGGCTGGATTTCCCTGGCACGGGGGGCCTGGAGCTGGTACACAGCATGCCATGGAGGACTGAGATCTCCTTCTCCGTCTTTGGCTCCCCAATACCCAGGGGTGGGCCGGCTGGCAGGACGGAGTGCGTGGTCACCTTGACTGCTGAGTACACCATGGTGTATGACACAGCTTTGTCCTTGGGGGGGCCGGGGAGCAAGGCGGCTGGGCCAGGCGGGGCTCCCGGTGCCCCCACCGCCTTAGGGCAGATCATGCTGTGGGAGTTGGGGAGCTCCCGCTCTCCCCGGGACTGGCCAGAGCCCTGGGGAGGCAGGGGCGTCGAGTGGCTCCGGGCTCGGCCTGAGGGTCCCAGCAGGAGGAGGTTGGCAGCGGGAGGAGGCGGTGGCAGGGGAGGCGTCTCCCGCTCTCGTGCAGGCACTTGGGGGGCTGGGGTGGAACCTGCTGGCTCCTTGGAGTGGCAGAGGACAGGCAGCCTCGAGACCCCATCACCAGGGGTTCGGGTAGCGGACTTGGCTTGGGGGAAGGCCAGGAGGGGAGGCCGGTGCTGAAGGAGGTTAGGGAAGGGTGGGGGGATTTCACAAGGAGTGGTCTTGGTGGGTGTCCCTTCCCTCCGGCTGGGGAGGGCCGATGCTGGCCGGCGGTGGACGTGGGGCTGGGGTGGAGGGGAGGTCGCCATCAATGGGGGGACCCCATTGGCCCGGCCTTCTGCTGCCTCTTCGGGGAGGGGGTACTTCATCTCCTCATAAATAGCCTCGCTGTCATCAGAGTCTGAGTCCGCACCAGCTGGAGGGGTTGGGCCCCCACCCCCGAGGGGGGTCCCTGTCAGACCCCCTCCACTGCGTCCTCCCCCACCCCTGAAGACGTCTCCCACCATCTCGATGTAAACGGGCTCTTCTTCCTGGGCACCAGCATCAGGGTCCCCGGCTACTCGGGACCCCCGGCTAAGGCGCTGCAGGGCCAGGTTCCCCCCTCGACTTGAGGGGGCTGAAGGGCAGGTCTCATCAGAGGAGACGGAGAGCTGGGTATGGGGGCTTCGCCTCGGCTTCTGCGGAGGGACCTTCCGGCTGGAGTCTCGGCCCTCTGGGGTTGGCTTTTGTGAGCCTAGGCAGGCCAGGAAGCAGAAAAAATAATAATAATCAGGGACTGGGACAGTGGTAGAGTGCTTGCCTAGCATGCATGAAGCCCTGAGTTTGATTCCTCAGCACCACATAAACAGAAAAAGCTGGAAGTGGCACTATGGCTCAAGTGGTAGAGTGCTAGCCTTGAGCAAAAGAAGCTCAGGGAGGGACAGTATCCAGGCCCTGCGTTCAAGCCCCAGGACTAGTAAAAAAAATAAAATAATAATCAGAGCAGGCATTGGTGATTCACACCTGTGATCCTAGCTACTCAGGAGGCTGAGATCTGAGGATATCAATTCAAAGCCAGTGGGGCAAGAAAGTCTATGAGACTCTTATCTCCAATAAACTACGCAGAAAAAGCTGGAAGTGGCACTGTGGCTCAAGTGGTAGAACGCTGCCTTGAGGAGCTCAGGGACAACACCCAGGCTGTGAGTTCAAGCCCCAGGACTGGCATAAATAAATAATAGTCATCGTCATCATCATCATCATAGCTTTTCATGGGGGAGTAGCTACCTCTTCACTTTCTCCCATGCCTCTCAACTGACAGCTCTAGTAAGTTCCTTTTCTGCCAGATGGCTCTCAAATTTCTGACATGTGCCCTCTCCCCTGATTATTCTTGTCTCTTTCCTAAGAAGTCATTGGGGGAGCATCCCCTGTCCTTGAATGGTTCATCTGAGGTCTGTCCAAAAGGAACTCCCCCATTCCTTTGAGGAATGGAACCTTCCACTTCCCTGAATGAACTCTCCTGGATGCCTCCCCTTGGCCTGTTTGGATTTTCCCAGCTCCTGCGGGCCCCACCCCACCCCCAGGAAGCCAGTAAGGGGGTATCTCACCTGCCTTCTTGCTGGGGGGTGTCTCCACCCCTGATCCTGCCATGCTGAGCTTGGTGCTGGGGTGTCTCTGGGGCTTGGCTGGGGGTCTTCGGCCGCTGCTGTCTTCTGTGAGACCCCCCCCACTCCCCCCAGGCCCTCCCCCGGCACTGTCCATGCTGCCCACAGAGTGGCAGGAGAGGGAGCGTGGGGCCATGGCACTGCGGCAGGGGTGAGGGGTGTGCTCCTGGGAGGCGGGCATTGTCATGAACCCCATCCTGAGGGAGCGGCGCAGTGAGGAGATGTCCCTCACTCGGACCCCAGACCCTGGGCCTGCCCCAGGCCCTGCCGGGCCTGCAGGGGCCACCTCCTTACTGGAACTGTGGAGAGAAGATCCAAATGGAACAGGTCAGGATTCAGGTCTGAACGTTCCCCCTTTTTGTCCTCAAGAGAAGGAAGCCCTCTCAAAGCTGCTGGTAAACCCATACCCTTCCAGCTCCAAGAGGAAAGGGAGTTTAGAGTAAAAACCCCCTCAAAGGTCTGAAGCAGAAATGTAAGGGATTCAGGCAGAATCCCCAGGCCACAAATGACCAGGCAAAAGCTGGGCACCGGTGGCTCACGCCTGTCATCCTGGCTACTTAGGAGGCTGAGATCTGAGGATCACACTTCAAAGCCAGCCTAGGCAGACAAATCCCCGAGATTCTTGTTGTCAATTAATCAGCAAAATGTGGAAGTGGAGGTGTGGCTTAAGTGGTAGAATGGCAGCCTTGAGTGAAAAAGCCAAGGAGAATGTGAGGCGCTGAGTTCAAGTTCAATACTGGCACACAAAAAAAATAAAGACCTGTGTGTGTGTGTGTGTGTGTGTGTGTAGAGGGAACAGAAATGAAAGAAGGAACACACAGTACAGTGTCCCCAGGGCTGGCAGATCTCAGCCTGGGCATATCTAGTACACAGACTGGTATGGAGAGGGAGATAAAAACTCAGGCAAAAGCAGCCTTATAGATAGACACACATATACACCTACCACTAGGGCTTCTGGGCTGCAGGCCCCTATCTAGCCTCTAGCCTCCCCTGTCATCCAACACTCCCCCAGGCCTTCTTTCCCAGTAGCCTCCTCTTCCAGAGGTGGGTGTGCAGTCTGCAGAGCAGCCTCCTCCAGCTGATCCTTTCACCTCCCTTTCTCCATCTCCCTCCATACTGTCCTCCCTGGCTCACCCCATTCCCTTCCACTGTCCCTTCAGCGAAGGGGGGAGGCTGAGCAGGGAAGAGAAGAAAGCTGTTATGGGTGGGCTCTCATTAAGGCCCTGTCTGCTAACCCTTCATTAGGGAGAGATCACTGCCGTGATCGCTCTGATTAATCTAATTAACAACAAGAATTAAACTCCACAGTTGTGAGCAGGGAAAACCGAGCCAGGGGGAGGCTCTGACTCAGGCTCTGAGCGGCTATGTAGTCTATGAGAAGAGTGCAATGACCCAAGAATGGGAGAGACCAGGCCTGGGTCCCTGGGAGGGCAAGGAGTGAGGGCCAGCAAGAATGTAGGAGTAGAGGACCAGAGGGTCCCCAACTCTGGCTTTTGTTTTGTTTTGTGGATCATGGGGCTTGAACTCTGGGCCTAGGCACTGTCCTTCAGCTCTTCAGACAAGGGGAGTGCTCTACCACTTGAGCCACAAGCGCCACTTCTGGTTTTCTGGTAGTTCATTGGAGATAAGAGTCTCACAGGGATGTTCCTGCCCGGGCTGGCTTTGAATTGCCATCCTCAGATCTCTACCTCCTAAGTAGCTAGGATTACAAGCGTAAGCCACCAGCACCTGGCTTTGGGGCAGGGGGGAGTCTTGGGACTTGAAAACTGAGGGCCTGGGTGTTGTTTGCCAAGGCTGGCACTCTACCACTTGAGCCACAGCTCCACTTCCAGATTTTTTTTTTGTGGTAATTAATTGGAGATAAGAGTCTCAGACTTTCCTGTCCAGGTTAGTTTTGAACTGTGATCCTCAGATCTCAGCTTCTTGAGTAGTTAGGCTTGCAGGTGTGAGTCACTAGAGTCTGGCTCAACCCTGACTCTGCTTCTTGGTCATTCACCATCCCTCCCGAGCAAAGGAAACTAGGAAGGGGACCTCCTGGGTGCTCTCTGAGGCCCCTGAAATGAACCTGTCCCTTGCACCTGTCAGGACAGAGGGGCCTGCCTCTTACAAGGTCAGGTGACAGAGCAGCCAGCAGCAACACAGAAGGGAGAAGACCACTATAGGCAAGAAGCAAGTCAAGGAGTGATTTGGGTCCTTAGGGATGGGGAAGAGGTACTCTAGATCTGGAACCCCCCACAGGAGACCAGAAGCAGGGTCTGGACCCAGGTGTGTGCAAGTCCAGACATTCTGAGTCTGAGACAAGAATCACAGTTGTAACAGGGCTGTAAGTGCAGGCACAGGAGGGGAGAGGGCCAGGGGGACAGTCTGGGGCCCAGCCTTACCTCCTTTTGGCCTCTTCTTCCTTGTGCTGTCTCCACTCCAGCTTGGTTTTTCGATAGAGGAGGTTCATGTCGTGGGGCAAGAGGTGGGGGCTGGGGGGCCCTGCTCAGTGCCACCAGGCCCGGGGGGCGGCCCTCCCTGGGTCCCGGATCCACTTGAAGAGGGGGATGGGTGAGGAGATAAAGAAAGATATGGGGATGGGTGGGGATCAGGAATGAATGAGAAGGGAAAAAAGGAGTAGAGATGACTTTGGGCCTTCAGAGAAGAAAACACAGACAGGCACAGAAAACCTAAGAGCCTCTAGGATACCTCACCGCCCCCCTCCCCCAAGACAAGACAAGACAGACAGACAAACATAGCCATGTGTGTGTACCCAGAGTCACACACCCTGACAAAGGTGCTCAGCGCCATACATACATTCTGGAGATCAGATTGACACAGATTTTCATCCTGTGTAAATACATCCTGATTCACCACACACAGAGACAAGCCCCACAAACATATAGCAACCCAAAGCCACACAGACACACATTGAGATGTATAAAACCACCCAACCACAGACCCATATCTACAAACAGAGGACCAGACATATACCGTAGCATAGGTAAACATAAACCTAGGAACAGCAAACACACACAGAGACACAGACACCCACCGACACACCCACAGGCACACCCAGCCCTCCAGACACACAGAAATCCGCTATGGAACTGGACACACCTACAGATGAGGAGTTGTTCCCAGGGCCTACTTGCGTACATTGCACCCCGCTAGAGAAGGGGGGAGGTGGTCAGTCTGCCACCCCCTCTTAGACCCTGAGGCTTCGTGGTGGTGGGGTCATGAGGACAGGGTGGGGACGTGAAGGATGGATGGAGTGCCGAACTGAGCATCTAGAATCCCACCCATCCATCTATCCATTCCACTCCCCTGGCGTCTCCTCTTTTCCAGTCCTGGGCTTGGGCCTCGGCCCACCCCTATTCTATCTCTCGCCACCCCCCCTCCCTCCCCAGCAAAGATCTCCACCTCCCTCCCTCACTGATGGCTCAAATCACCTTCTTCTTCCTCCGGGATTTGGGAGAACCCGGGCTTCCCCCTTTCAGTCCCGCCTCCGAATCCCACCAGGAGGGAGGGAGGGAGGAGGGGAAGGGGGGTGTCTCCAGTGTTATGGCCCCAAAACAACCTTCTGAGGTGCGGCCTCCAAACCTGCTCTGGCGTCCAAAACACACTCTTCCTTTTCGCCCTCAGCCTCCCATCTTCCAGGCGCCCCTCTCCACGGCCATGCTCCCCTCTCCCCTGTTTGTTCCAAACCTGGCCTGCCTCATCCGCCCCCCCTCCACCTCTCCATCCAAGGGCCGCAGGTTTCCGGGCCACCCCCCCTCCCCTTCCCCTTGTCCTGCTACCCCGGGTGTCTCCGCCCCTCTCCGGGCCGGTCCTGCCGGCCCCCGGTGCCCCCATCGCCGCCGCCCCGCGCTGAGCCCCCCCCACCCCCCACGTTCCCACATCACGGTACCTGGCCTGCCGGGCGCGGGCCCCCCCATGCCGGGCTCCGCCCGGAGCAGGAGGAGGGAGGAGGAGAGACAGAGAGACGGCGGGGAGCGGAGCCGGGCCCTGCCGCAGAGACGGCCCCGCCTCCG